ACGGTAGATTAAAAAGCCACACGGAGCATTTCGTAGTTGATATTCGTTTTCACCCAGTTTTCTGATTCGATTATACGTAACCGCATCGAACGTTCCTCGAAAATTGGTATGCCTCGCGTTGTTGGCGCCGATTTTCGATGCTGAATACCGGAATTTCTTAATTCTTTTGTACAAAATTATTTTACCAGCTTCTTAAAACTCGTCCGATTTATGAAAACATTGGCGGCAACCCAAAAATCTTGACGGGGAAATTAGAAAATTATAAATTTACATGCAAGATCAATTTGACGTATTTTGACCACAATTTCGCCATGTAAATAACATTTTTTTAAAATTATGAGGCGAACGTTTAAAATATAAAATGTTCTTTTGTTGTTAAAATTATTTGTAAGTTTAAATCAATAAATAAGACTAAACATCATTATACATGGTGTTAATTAATTGAGTTACAATGTTTTTGAAATGGTAATAATTTATAAAATGTTATTTACAATTATTGGCACATTTGATACACTTGTGGTGTTATAGAATATGCATTATAAGGCATTAATGCATCATGCATTAATTACAATGTGCATAAGGTAAATATGGAATATATTCATTCAAAATTCTGTTCTGTTTTAAAATAACATTAGGTATTATTAATACACTATGAAATTGCAGAAAAATCGTACTTTATGGAAAAAATATGGAATATATTCATTCAAAATTCTGTTCTGTTTTAAAATAACATTAGGTATTATTAATACACTATGAAATTGCAGAAAAATCGTACGTGAAAATTTTTAGTTGCCACCAACATTTTCTGAAATTTGGCAAGTTTTAAAAGCATAATATGTATACATTTTTTATATTTCAGCCGCAATTCTACATTTTTATCATCGTTGTTATTATACAGAAACAGCAAAATGCTTTCTATTTATACGAATATCGCGCATCTCGAAGACTCGCTGTCCTGCAAAATATCCAAATCGACTCCATTGGGAAACGTTTTACTTGAAACAATGTCAAAACAACGTCAAAGTAACTAATTACTGAAAAAACAAAACCGTCTCGCTGACCCGAATTCTACAAATAACATTCAATTACATTATTTTTCGACATTTTCCGAATCATCAGCCTTCCTCTCGACTCGGCATCGCAGGAGCTTTTAATTAAATTACGCGCCGCACTCGCAGAATTCATTCAGAGAATGAATAAACATTTTCGTACCCATTTCCGGGAATTAATTAAGCCCCGACTTCCATACATATTTCATAAAATATGCGTAAGAGCCCCCTAAAAACAACAAACTTCACATAGTACGTCTTGCTCGACTCTCCCCTGTTTACCGAACGATGTCGTAACGCTATTAACGACAGTCCTGATTTCGTTTGCCAACTTTCTTCGCGATTTTAAAAGGTTATCACGAGAATTTACACTGGAAACTGAACATCCATTTTGTAAGGACTAATCTACTAATTTATTTTTCCTGCATATAACTCGGCTGAAATCGAACTAGACATTTGAAAACAAGCCAAACATAAGCAGGTTACCAGGTTACTCTTTTAAATTTGAGTATCAACAAATTGTTCTCAAAAATCGTTCGAGTTGTAGCAGGAATCTCGTGCATTTTTCCTGCCGTGTAAACGAAAGAGCGCTGCTCATTTCAGCGACAACAAGTGGGTGGAAATTGTCGCGTGTTCGGCGGATTTTAATCGTGACGGACCGTCAAGTGTCCTAATGAGCTGATTGCATATTAAAGACAGTTCGCGTGACTGGTCCCCTACGAATGGCTGGGTTATATAATGGCGCAATCGTCATCATTAATAGTGTAAACGTAGAGCTATATTAGTGCGCTTCTAGCAATTAAGACGCTGAATAAACAATAACAGTCGAGGAGATACGGAGGCTAATTTTAAATTATTGATTTGGTTATGGATTGATTCCAAGAGATCGGTGCATAGTGCATAGTGTATGCATGAATTGTTTAGTTTCCTTTTAAATCAGTTTTTAGTAGATATACCGGGTCGGTCCGCGGGTATCATAAGGTACAGATTGAACCTGCACTTTCTCGGTTTTTATAATATCTAATTGGTCAGGAGAACTTTAGAAACTTTTAAGAATTAATTATAGGAATATTTGAAACAGTTCACAACGATCTTAGAACGATTTAGAAGTATCTCAAATCATTTAGAACAGACTAATTGGAACGTTCCAGAATCAAGTAGGAAAGTTCAGAACTAATTAGAACGCTTGCAGAACTTATCAGAACTTTTAAAAGACTGTTTAAAATAATTCAGCTAAAAAATTGACTAATTTATTAAAATGTTCACGTATAATCGGAAAATTTAGTTGTTAAATCTTGTAATATTAAATGTGTTTTTCCCATGTCTACATCGCCTCAGGCCGAACACGTAGAACTATATTTTTTAATCAAGTCTATATGTGTTTCAATAATGCAATAATCTTCTCTTCGCTTATCAGCGAGCATAAATGTACGTACGTGCTTCAGCATAATTTTAATTACAAATTGCATTTCGATGTATACGGAACAAAGAAAATCGAACGTCAATTAACAGAGCAATATAAGATTATTTCGCTAATTGCTACCGTTATAATTGGTCCTGCTTTATCTGAGCGTACGGTCAGTATCTAATACTGAGATATGCAGATAAACCTATCAGAATTGGGATATCTGTGTCCAATTAAAGCCCGAGTTTCGAGCGATTCCCGTACTGCGTGCGGTTATTAATCTTTATTCGCGTCTTCTGAAATTGCGGTTTGATTAACGATGCCCGGTTGTTGTTGATATTCATTTAAACATTAATAAACATTAATAAAGGTATATCGAATAAGGTTTTCTCATATACTGCATTGTTGGCTTTTCAGTAATAATAAAAAGATTTTTTACGAGCTTATTTAGTATGTTCTTAAAGGAAGGCGCCCGGTCTGAAAATAATCCTGTCATTTCTCTTAACGTTAAACTAGACAATAATTGGTCAGGGAAAAAAGAGGAACGTTTTACGGCCATCCACCACGGTGTCTGAATCGTAATAGGGACTGTATTTTATGCCGGTGAGCAGTAAAACCGCTTTTACGAGCGCTTCTTCAAACGCTACCCGATGTCATTACATGGCTTTTTATATTTCCGATTAAACTGTCTATCGAATCGTCCTCCTGCTTTGTTTTAAAGCGTAATATAATCAAGACTGATCAAGCGTATACAATTTTATGGTGCCGGTACGTGATCCTATTTTATTCGCCTGGCCTGTATGCATGCAATTTGCAACATTTTTGCATGCATGAATTTTTCCATCGTCGAAATTTAAATGCGTTATTTTTTCTCTTTTTTTTCTGTTCGGTGCAAAATTTACGACTCACTACTACCAAAAAATACGATATTATTGAAAGAAGCATAAAACTTTATATAAAAATCGTTTCCGGGACTCCCATATTATTAAAGTTTCCGGTGCGCCGCCGCTCCGTGACAGATTAAAATTGCCGTTTTTCAACTTGGATATTAAAATTTAAAGAGACCACACCAGACATTCAGATTCGCCAAAGTTTTATGCCGTTTCTTTCTTGAGTTATCGCCCGATGATAAAAATAAATAGTTTCCCGAGAGGGAAAACTCCATATATTCGCGCCGGGATATTAAATGACGTCTACTTTGTGCGCTTTACTCGCATTGAGAAAATGCAACTATGATGTCAAAATACCACATTTTCATCACCGCATATTCCATATAATACGAACTCTGCACTTTAATTAATTCGCACGCTCTAAACTCTGTATATTAATTCCTCGCATGACGTCATACCTCAAATAGTTATACCAGAATATATGCAACTTTTCTTCTAATTAAGATAGCACAGTATTAACTCAGCTTAATAATTCATCGCGTGATGTCATATATACCTGATGATTTGGTGAGAACATATACTAACTACGAGTATGTGCAAATTTCTTTTTATTAGGATAGTTTAATTCACACTGAAATCCATATAATATTTCTTTATTACATTTAATTAGATTATACTATATGAAATTTTTTTGCTAATTATGGCAACACAGTATTACTTCATCATCAGCTTATTATTTAATCGGGTGACGTCAAAATTAATTCAAAGAACATTTCCGTATTACTGGATACCCAACAACTGCTCGAGGTGTTCCAGCAAGAAATGTTCCAATCTTATAACGAACTTGTATATAGTAATTCTAATATTAATCCGATTTGGACCGTTGTACCGGGGACGCGAAATAAATCGCGTTATAAGCGCCGAGAATGCTAAGAAACCCATACTCTCGCATTGCCAATAAGCGCGAATCGCCCCGGTATAGCCGCTGAGCCGCGCTGATGTGGCTCACTTAAGTTTTAAACATCAACTCACCAATAGTTGATATTAATTCTACAACTGTGCGATCACGCGATTTCGGACCGGCAGCTGGCTCGCGGTCGTAAATCACCAAATATTCATCTAATTAATCTCGCTCTTCAGTTTGTTTGTCTTAGATCAGTGGCTCGCGCGGTCTGAAAATTTTTCGCGATTTCTCAAAGCCTTGGTTAAACTTTACTTGTTTTTAAAATTATTAATTTTAACTTATAAAATTTATTTGACATAAAATTTCACTGACAAAGTGAATACATTAAATATTACCCAAATAATACTTTAATCTATTTAATTTTGATACTAAAAACGGTACATCCATGTGCACCGGTACCTTTGAAGTCGGCGCTAGGCGTTTTTTATGCCATGTCGAATTATGGCTAGAACTTGTATACATCAGGACATGCGCAATACAATACTGATACAAACATAATTTGAACATGCTGCTGGAACAAACCTACTATATGAAATTAGATACATAAAATAATATATCTTTTTATTAGAACAATCTCCTTCTAATTCGCACCATATAAACTCAAATTAATAATTCGTCGCGTGACGTCATACATGATTTAGTAAGAACAGACTATATGCGACTGTTCTTTTAATCGGGATAAATTGTTGCAGGGCATCCACGAGTTGGCAGGCGTCCGTTTGCCCCTGCAACCCTATCCCAGCGGCCATGCGGTCTTCATGTACAGCACGGCGTCGGACGGTAACGTCACCTTGCAGCTCAAAGAACCGGACGACCTGGATCGCAACAGCTTGGCGGCGATGTTGGCCAAATTACAGGACGACGCGACCTTTTCAATTTCCTATCAGGACACGGATATCTTGTCGGAGGGTATCGACGTGCTTCTAGGTAGCGGTACGGCGAATTCGGGTGAGTTAATTTACGTATTCAGTGGCTATTAGCTTTACTTTCATCATCGTGGAAAAATCGATGGGTTTATATCGTCTTTGGATCGCCGCAAATCAAAGCGATTCGTTCGAACAGGGGAGAACAATGTTGAATTGTTGACGTGCGATGTCCGGCGTAACACGGTTATGTTTGTAGGTAATGTAATGAAACGGTTTAGGAGTTTGGACGGGCGCAAAAGTTTCCACCGGAGACTAATTAGGGGAGTTTCTGGTGATCGACGGGAGAGATGCGAGAGGAAAATCGATGGTGGATAAGTGCGGCTCTCGTAAGAAGTGCCTTATCTCCTCCTCTCGTTATCCAAATAAAGGGCGACGAAAAAGATTAAAAGAGAGCACTTGCTGTTGCACTATTTTTAGACGGAATTCGAGTGTATAAATGTCGCCTTTGTTAAGATAACATTTTCACGCAAATTTCAGGAGAGTCCATTGAAAAGACGTGCTCAACTGGTAATGCAAAAGTTAACTTTATCTACTTATCTTTGAGTTCTTTTTTTCTTTCTTCCGCTATTCTTTCCACCAGAATAGATGTACACCTTTTTATAATAATGATCTTCTATAAAAGCTTTATAATTTCATCATTTTTCAAAAAACAGTTTCAATACAAATCACATTATTGCATTGTACGTGAACAAATCCTCGGAAACATCGACGCCGAGGAAATATTGTCGCTTTTCTTCATTTAAACTAACGATATTTGCGTTTCGAGACGTCTGTTCAGACGATTTCATTTCGATTGAAAGACTACGTGTCTCGCTTATTTCATTTCCTCCTTAGTTCAACCTCGATTTTTCAAATTTTCCGAAAATACGTTCGCCGCAAAATCGCGAAATGCATCAATTCGAAAACGTCTGTTTAAAATCAGTTTTCTTTATTGAGGATGAAATAGATGTGCATGTATACTGAGTGTTTTGCACAAGAAAAACCGATACAGAACATATACCTAATCATTTAAGCGAACCTTAAGGTGATTTAATCCAACTTAACTTTGTACTAAGTTGTACCCCTAAGAAGTTGTTCCAAATGTTGAAACTCCACTTTGATGGCCTTTAACTTCTCAAGAGTGCAGTATAAAGGTAAACATGATTAAATCACTGTAGGTACTTTAAGCTGCTCCACATGCCTCTGTTCGGTGGCAGTTTTTATTCGAAAGACCCCGTACATTGGGTTAAATTTTCTATATAATTACCAATTTTCGGTGAAGCTAACAAAAGGCCTTATGTTCGACGAAAAACTTGTTGGCTGAATAGCCGTTTAAGTACGAAAATCCAATATAAGTTTCGCCATTCGCCGAATGCAATTTCTATTTTAGTCTTCTGCTAAACGAGATTTCGAAGCACAAATTTAAAACAGCAGTAATGCGATTTCTGATGGCGTTTTCCGTTCTCATAAAGAGAAACGCAATAAAAATTTCCCCGGCTCCTTTTTATTCCGCTCCTAATGAGATACATCCTATTGAAGACACTATTAGCGTTCAAACAAAAAATAAAAATACCACTGGGGTTGAAAACATAATTGGGTCGCGTAGACATTCCGCTAAAGGGGAAAGACGGATTTCCGTTTCGAATTCGCGAATTCGAGAAGAATTACCTTTGTAAATCATCTGAGCATTGAATCGGCTTAGGGCTTTAAGCCGTACAATAAAGCATTAACTTCCTTTTCTGTAAAGATTAATAATAATAACATTAATAATGCGTACAAATTGATTACAATGCGCTTCGAAGAAAGAGTAGAAAATAGATTTGGAAGAGTAGGAAGAGTAGGAAGAGTAGGAAGAGTAGGAAGAGTAGGAAGAGTAGGAAGAGTAGGAATAAGAGTAGGAAGAGTAGGAAGAGTAGGAAGAGTAGGAAGAGTAGGAAGAGTAGGAAGAGTAGGAAAAGTAGGAAGACTAAGAAGACTATAGGAAGAGTAGGAAGAATAGGAAGAGAGAGAGTAATAGTATGTAGAGTAAAACGAGGAAAGTCATAATTTCTTATAGAATTTCTAAATAACCCAACATTTTTTATTATCAACTCAAATTCAAGCCTAATCTACAGTCCCGATAAATTAATAATTAGAGTCCCGAAATTAAAACCATAACTCCGGAACTACATCTTCCCTTATGTTAGCTATACGCCCGGAGATTAATTAGGGAGTCGTTTATTGTTTTTCGTGCAACATTTGCGAATATCCGCCGTAAATAACGGCGTTGTTTTAGCGGCAGCGGGTCGGTTGCGAGCGAGTAACGGGCGTAAGGGCGTAATGGCGTCGCGGCGCTGGCTGGAAGACGCGCGAGGCGCTCCGAATCGCATTAGTACAGCGTGCCGCCAACACTTGATAAGCCGCACGATTACAAAACGCGTAAATTTTGACGAGCACGAGCCAGAACCGGACTCTGCATTAATACAACTCAATTAGGGGCTTCTTAAATATTGCCAGAATATGTTTCAATTTATACTGGTTCTAAACAGTTCTTAATAATTCTTATATTGTTCAGAACAATTTGAAAAAAGTACATATTACAAGTACTGTTACAATGCAGAGATCTCATTTCTTTCTTTTTATTCTTGTTATCTTCCTGTACTTTGCTTTGTAGAAATATAGGTAATTTTCCTAAGGGAATTTAACCACTTCAGCTACTTTATAGGTGTAGAGTTTACGTTGCTTTCGTACCAGAAACGCGCATTCACATCAAATTCAATATTTCACGAGAACCCGTAAAAATTAGATCAATGCAAGCGACTATAGAGGAAAGTGAAACTGCACCGAGGGAACGTATTAATTCGGTAAAATTGATTGTGCGCGCTAACGGTGATTTATGAGACGTCCTCGTTAAGTATTCCATTTTCCTTTGAGGCAGGGAGCTCGGGGCCCTCGTCAAAAAAAATGAAATTGTAATAAGGAGCGACTTCCGAAATCCTTCAATCTCGACAAAAACCCAATAACCCGAAACTAGATAAATGGCGGTGCCGTATTAAAGTCACACGCCATCAATATGGTTTATTGGAACCGCAGGGTACTCGGCACCGAAGCGCATCGACCAAGGGCAACGGTGACCCTTTTAAATCCTTTCCCGAGTTGTTCCTTCGAACTCGAACTCTCCCGTCGCGATTATTTTATTTCAGATCGCTCTAGCTCGAGCCGTTTCTTTTTCGATTTCCTGTTTTATTAAACGTTATCCTACTAATGGGAATCGTTTCGTAATTCTCGATATTTCATTTTATTATTTATTCCAGACGTATCTGCGTCAGAAAGACGTACGTATCGGCCCGTAAACGCCTTTCCTCGTCTATATAGAAATGAATTTTTGCCGTGTTATCCATTTCAAATGCATAAATTATTTCACCGGGGCACATTAAACTGTATAATTTATCTTGAATGAAAGACCTAGGCCAAGCGATCTACTAGAAATTTGTTCTTACACGCAATTTTGTCCATTCATTCGAAACATATTCTCAATTATTACCAGTAGGTACCTCCAATAAAAAAATGTTTATGCATCTTTATGCAATCTTTATGCATATTTTTTTAGTGTATACGTTCCATTGTACTCATCCAGTAGCCTATCATTATTTTTATATTAAACTACCTTAATTTCGATACAGTAATTAATATGCAAATTGGGATTTATTAATTTAAGGAATTGTATGGGTGTAGTATTAATTCTATTGTACCTCGTGTACTAGGAATTTCTCGCAGACTGTGGATGGAAGAATGAAGTCGGTAAAGTTTAATTTCCTTTTCATAAATATGAGGCATTAACCAAACGCCGCACTTTGCATGCATATTGGGGATTCCTTGCACCTTTATAAATATATATTAGCATAGAAGGCCCATCCTCTCTATAAGTAACCTTAAAATGGCAATTTAAGAAGAAAAATGCTTCACTAGAATGTCTAGATTGCCCGGCTTATTTACGGACAACGCTTTAGAGGATTTTTTTTTCGACAGAAGAAAAAAAACGCCGTCGTTATCAAGGCGTCGGCGGAAACTTTTTGTCGTTAATTAAAATTAGAAGTCTAATTACTTGGGAATGTACTGTGTTGATTCGTTTTCGTTGCGGAAAAGCTGTAAAGAATTTTGTAGCGATTTTTCTAATCACATTGCGCGAAAATGAAGATTAAAAGGAAGTAATTACTCCTGAAATTGTCCAAACCATTCGAGTCCTAATAGTTCTTAAAAACTTTTCCTAACACGACACTTTTTATTGAAAGTCCCGGGCGCTATTGGAATTATAAAATTTTCATGGGCAAATGAAAATTACTTGAGATTTCCTGTGCGCATTTAAAAGAGCACGTGGTAATCGAAACGTAACGAGCGATTTGTATTCATTGAAGAAATCGATTACGCCCGTTCGTAAACATTCCTTTCATAACTCACAACGGTGTTTACCCATTAATTTTACTGAGTTAAAAATAGTTAGCAATTAGTTACCGTCCCATTTGCCGTCCGAATATTGAAAAAAAGGCACTAAACTACGCCGGAGCATTGGAATAATTTTACATTGTCGAAGATGATTACCATCAATAAATAATGAATTTACTTTTCGATCAGTTATGAACGAACCGCGTGTCATTGATTGATTAGAATTCCAGAAGGAGAGCATTCGTCGGGATTTATGGACGGGAATAGGTAGTAAAAGAGCGAGGTAAATAACAAACAAAATATTGATTCGATCCGAATATCATTCTGGGTTATTAGGTTTAATGAAAAATGAAGGCGAAATCCGCGATACCGTATTTTTCATTAGTCTTATCGTCCCGAACAATTTATAACTATACTAACTCAATTTGGAAGCTGACGTTTTTCATTAACAACCTCATTCGAGGACGGGCATCCGCATTGATATTTTTAACAAATATTTACTCCGCAGAGTTCCAAAGTTATTAAAATGGATTTAGTTAATGATGTATGATGCCGTACAAAAAGGTCTACTTGCAAATAAACTGGATACTTGATAAATTGATAGTTCTCCGCTGTAGTTTT